TACAATGACACAGCCCCTGCAGGTGTTTTATCATTGTTTTTCACGCATAAAAAAGTAACTTGTAGACTTCTCACTTTTCTCGCAGCGTTCTCCAGAATATTCCACAGAGCACGTGCAGTTGTAGCCACCGTCCAAATTTGTACAAGAGCCGTTGTTATAACATGGAGAGCTCACACAACTGTCGACAACTTATGAGAAACAAGGATAACATAGTTAGTGGTTTGATCAGTTGCTGTATTTAACGATGGGTTCGAAGAGAATACACTACTTCCATGCGCAGATCCTCATCGGTTTCCACCATTTTACGGAAATTAATCGGTCAGATTTTTCATAAACAGAATTTTTTTTTCTGGAAAATGGTTTGAATAATTTTTTTTCCAATTTCCGGGCATGAGAAATAATAATAATATTCCACCGATTTGTAAGGCTTCATCAGAGGACAATGGAACTGGCCAATATCCTGTCCGACGAATGACTCAGAAACCACCCAGGTAAGGGGACTTTAGAGAATTAAATGTAATAAAATTTCCTGGGAAAGCATGCCCCCGAACTCCCCCTAGAAACGTGCGCCTTCGGCGTTAGTTTAGGGAATCGCGGTCAATATTTTCCCTAGATCCACGCATGACCTCTATTTCTTAAATGTTCTGAAACGCTTTCGTGCATCTGCTACTGTTTTTTTTTTTTTTTTCACGATATAAAAGTAAACTAGATACTCAGCCCACCTTGATATATTTTCTTCGCCACTTCAGATACAAAATCAGCATTAACGTCTTCCCAAGACTCTGCTGTGAAGACGTGATCCTCATCCAATTCACTTGCCATCTCATTCAACTGCCCCAAAGAATACTTTTCACCCACACCCATGGCAAAAACTGTCACGTTCGATGCCTTCAAGGTAATTGTTGGCACTTCGATATCATCTGTTGACTTTCCACTTGTAATAGCGACGACAATATTTGAAGCATTGACACGAGACGAACCTGCACTGAGCAATGTCTCTCTTGCACGATCTAATATTGCACCCAACGTTATCTGATTTTCGTTCGGAAAATTGGCACTTAAGTCTGCCTCTACGCTCATTAACTCACTTATGCTGTAAAACGCATTTACCTCGCCAAAAACAAAATAGATGCAGGTCGTATTTGCGTATAGGCCAAGGCGATGAGAGACACGAATTGCGAACTTCATTGCGGAGGAGAAGTTGGCTTGTCCCATGTTAGTCGAACCATCCACCACAAATGCAAGGTTCAGGCTTGCAGAAGCACAAATAGCTACAAATATGAAATAATTAGTCACAGTTAATTAAAGCTTCACACAATAACCCTCACCCGTTCACACGATAATAAAGATGATTTAAACCACTTCAACCTGAATTGCAAGTGCACTTGCATTTGCATTGTTGTAAAGAAAAATATTGGTATCTCTGTGGCCTGTAGCTTGTGAAAGGTAACGCGCGCGTACATGCCCAGCACAGGGTTTCTAGCCTTTTACCTGTTCAGCATGTTACGTTATTGAGAGACGAAACAAGCGAGAATATATTACACCGAGCACGTGGGAATCTATCCCGCCGGCTAAGACTAATTGGAACTTATACGCGATTACGTCACACAACACACTTTTAAAGATTTAGATTTATCGTTGACAAACTATGAATGTTGTAACCATGCAATCACAACATGCCAAAGTTCAGGACTCGCGAGATCCACATTTCGCTTTCACAAAGGAGAAAATACATGTAAATAAATAAACAATGATGATAACAACAACTATAATATAGACGCAATGAAAGAACAAATATAATCGCGTTGTTTAATACTAGATGTTTATCACGGTCATAATATAGACATGTTGGGGTTCTCTTTAAGTTTTGGTTTAAATATTTTCCTTTTTTTCTGGATATGTGGTATGATAATAAGTTTGAAATAAAATATAATCCAAGAATACAAAAATGAACCACAAGATATCTATTCATATCATAACCAAAAGTATGGACGGATGATCCATTAATTAAGTTCATTAATTACGGTGTACTTGTGTGCGACTAAACTTATTTAGGTGGTAGAATTTTGACTGAAACCGAAGGACGAATGTCCGTCCTGGCTTTGCAAGCACTCAATTTTCCATAAGCGACCTATATCTAGCAGTGATCCAGACCTTGAGATAAGGGAGGGGGGGGTCATCCAGACCCTTAGATAATCAGGGGGGTGGTCTCCAAAACAAGTTTTTTTGGCCCTTCGGGCCTCCGTTGGATCTAAAAATAAGGGGGGCGGGCCTCCCGGGCCCCTCCCCTGGATCCGCCACTGTCTAGAGAGCACCTAAATGCTTGTAGCCCGGAAACAGACACCCCTTTTCCTAAAAAAAGTGGTATGGACACTTTTTACTGTAACTAAACACAGTGAAAATGCAAAAGACAAACTTACCTCCTAGTAAATAAATCTCGCTCACATTTGGTCCCCCTTTTCCACCAGGTGGACACTCTGTTTCACCATAAATGCTGTAGTTTACATGAGCAAAAGGCCCAGAAAGGCAAGCTCCTCCATCTTGCACGGCAAACGCTTTGAAGCCAACCTTTGCTGTTTCTAAAGCGCATTTCTTGATTGCATTTTCTCTCGTCTGATAAGGTCCGTTGAGGTAGGTTGCACTTATTGACTCCAGGGAGGGAATGACAGGCGTGTTATTTCGGTCATGGAAACAACCCAGCGAAAGATATTCAACTGATCGGCCTATTTAAAAACAGACATTTTCTTATTTTTTGTGGGTGTTGTTGTCTAACTTCACTTTCTCTAATAAACACCTGGGCACGTTTATAGTGCCGGTATCAGTATTGCGTGAAGATGCTGAAGTGCGACCAACCAATTACCAGGTGGAATATGATGATATTCGTCAACTCACGCCCCACCACTATTGGTTCCAAATAGCTGATCATGACCTATCCTAGGCTCGATTATTCTGCCGCTCTCCAGTTGTTCAAACGTTAGATTGCGCTATCTACTGGTTAAATCACTATCCAGTGGATTAGCATTAGCGAAACCAATTGCATTGTCCTCTGGATAGAAATTTATCCAGTGGATAGAGTCATCTACCTTTTGAACAACTGGGCCCTGGCTAATTGCCCAGGGGAGCAAACTTGTTTTATTGCAGTATGTATGAAGAAATAATGCATTTCTGGGTATTTTTGCAAACGCTTCAGCCAGTTTGTCGACGTTTATCTTCCTAAATCATGAAAGGCCCCGGATACATTTTTGTTTGTCACAAAACTGTGAGTTTGTTAAGTCAGTGAACAAAGACATTCCAGTTTTTATTTTAGCCAGACCTCGTGGGGAATAGCCTCCCAAGCAGACGTTCTTAGGGGATCGCCTGCGTGGGGAAAAGGAAACGAGTGTGGAAGCATCGAGAGGTTCGAAAAATATGGGGGAGGGGATGGGAGGAACTGCATGATTTAAACCTGGAACGGGAAATATCAGTCTAGTAATTCGAATTATCAGGAGTTTCCAGAATTGAGGTTTCGAGAAATCACTAATTCTATGCCATAATTTCTCCGCACTAATGGTATGCTCCTAAGAGAGTTAGGGAAACATTAATTGGAGTAAATGGACTGGTCTACAAAAGCATAAAAACTGGATTACAATGACACAGCCCCTGCAGGTGTTTTATCATTGTTTTTCACGCATAAAAAAGTAACTTGTAGACTTCTCACTTTTCTCGCAGCGTTCTCCAGAATATTCCACAGAGCACGTGCAGTTGTAGCCACCGTCCAAATTTGTACAAGAGCCGTTGTTATAACATGGAGAGCTCACACAACTGTCGACAACTTATGAGAAACAAGGATAACATAGTTAGTGGTTTGATCAGTTGCTGTATTTAACGATGGGTTCGAAGAGAATACATTACTTCCATGCGCGGATCCTCACCGGTTTCCACCATTTTACGGAAATTAATCGGTCAGATTTTTCATAAACAGAATTTTTTTTTTCTGGAAAATGGTTTGAATAATTTTTTTTCCAATTTCCGGGCATGAGAAATAATAATAATATTCCACCGATTTGTAAGGCTTCATCAGAGGACAATGGAACTGGCCAATATCCTGTCCGACGAATGACTCAGAAACCACCCAGGTAAGGGGACTTTAGAGAATTAAATGTAATAAAATTTCCTGGGAAAGCATGCCCCCGAACTCCCCCTAGAAACGTGCGCCTTCGGCGTTAGTTTAGGGAATCGAGGTCAATATTTTCCCTAGATCCACGCATGACCTCTATTTCTTAAATGTTCTTAAACGCTTTCGTGCATCTGCCACTGTTTTTGTTTTTTTGTTTTTTTCACGATATAAAAGTAAACTAGATACTCAGCCCACCTTGATATATTTTCTTCGCCACTTCAGATACAAAATCAGCATTAACGTCTTCCCAAGACTCTGCTGTGAAGACGTGATCTTCATCCAATTCACTTGCCATCTCATTCAACTGCCCCAAAGAATACTTTTCACCCACACCCATGGCAAAAACTGTCACGTTCGATGCCTTCAAGGTAATTGTTGGCACTTCGATATCATCTGTTGACTTTCCACTTGTAATAGCGACGACAATGTTTGAAGCATTGACACGAGACGAACCTGCACTGAGCAATGTCTCTCTTGCACGATCTAATATTGCACCCAACGTTATCTGATTTTCGTTCGGAAAATTGGCACTTAAGTCTGCCTCTAGGCTCATTAACTCACTTATGCTGTAAAACGCATTTACCTCGCCAAAAACAAAATAGATGCAGGTCGTATTTGCGTATAGGCCAAGGCGATGAGAGACACGAATTGCGAACTTCATTGCGGAGGAGAAGTTGGCTTGTCCCATGTTAGTCGAACCATCCACCACAAATGCAAGGTTCAGGCTTGCAGAAGCACAAATAGCTACAAATATGAAATATTTAGTCACAGTTAATTAAAGCTTCACACAATAACCCTCACCCGTTCACACGATAATAAAGATGATTCAAACCACTTCAACCTGAATTGCGAGTGCACTTGCATTTGCATTGTTGTAAAGAAAAATATTGGTATCTCTGTGGCCTGTCGCTTGTGAAAGGTGACGCGTGTGTACATGCCCAGCACAGGGTTTCTAGCCTTTTACCTGTTCAGCATGTTACGTTATTGAGAGACGAAACAAGCGAGAATATATTACACCGAGCACGTGGGAAATCTATCCCGCCGGCTAAGACTAATTGGAACTTATACGCGATTACGTCACACAACACACTTTTAAAGATTTAGATTTATCGTTGACAAACTATGAATGTTGTAACCATGCAATCACAACATGCCAAAGTTCAGGACTCGCGAGAATAAGCTGCACGACCACAAACTGATTATTGCTTAGTACTGTTGTCAAATGCTTACGCTTGAGTTTATTCAAATTTGATTAATTTTTTCCTTGCAACACAAAAAGTATTCCAGAAATATTTCTGTTGCTCTAGGGTTTCTGGGTTTCACTTAAAATGTTCTTGATGCTACTGTAAATGATATTCATGTACGTAATTAAATAAAACCGACCAATTATTCTGGCAAATATCATTGTATCAATCTGGGACTTTAATCTATACTTATATTTAGCGATTAGAAACAGAGGACGTTATTAACTTATCGCTGTGGACAGACGACCAATCGCATCTCCCTAAAACAGTAACCAATTGCATTAAAAAAAGCACTTTATTTGAGTGTCAATGTATTTAGCACGAAAGTACTAATTGAGGACACTATATTAACGTCTCCTACTGGAGACGGGACTGCCATTTTACGTGGTCATCCGAGCCACGTGAAGGTCTACCCGTTTGTAGGGCAAAGGCAGTACCTTCATTTATCATTTATTTTAAGACTCTGGGTGTCTGTCCGGTCCGCGGAATCGAACCTGCGACTTCGCTCTCTGCAGTCAAGCGCTCTACTGACTGAGCCAATCCTGCCGCGGTGAAGCTAAACCTGAAGCTAAACTAACTTACCGTTCATTTCACAGATGTAACGACGAGGACTGATACACCTATCGTCGTTCCATTTTCCTCTCTCTTGACTTCCGTAATGAAATGGATATATTTCAACACACGTCTCAGCATCACCATTAGGTTCACCACAATTCCAATTCGAGTAACTAACACGCGACCCATCAACCCACAAAAAAAATTCTGTCATTCCGACTCGGTGCAAGGATAGGCCAATCCATGCACGATGCAATATATTGGGCGCAAGAGCCAGCTGCTTGGCCTCTGAGTTTATAACTGCAAGTCTAGATCCCACAGCTTCGCAAGCGGATTTTGCATGGGGCCAGGTTAAGTTGTCGGAAGAAAAGTTGTAGCAGTATCCGTGAACACCTTCAATCCAGCCATCTGGGCATGAAGCTAAAACAAACAATTAAGGTTTTGTCAACTAACATCCCTGGATAAAAGTTGATCTTATCATAATCATCATCACTATCACTATCACTGTCACTATCACTATCACTATCACTATCACTATCATTATCACTATCACTATCACTATCACTATCACTATAATTATAATTATAATTAACATTATCATCATCATTATCATATTACCTTATTCTCCTTTATTTTCGCGGGACTTAAATTTGGCGAAAATTTTCTCGGCACATTTCGCGAGTCTTTAATTTCGCGATCGCGGAGAAAAATTACGTTTGCAGGGAATTTAATTTCGCGAAATTGACGATTAAGTGACTTTATTTTTTTCTGTTTTACAAAAATTGTACGTTAATCAACAGTTGAAACAAAACCAATATGCTGTCCCTTAGCGGCAGCCGTATTCCTCTTGTTCTTCCGAGTCGTCATGGAGTATCGAGAGTATCTTTACATGTCTTTTCTAGGAGATCTCAACAGAACCTTCAGTCTCTTCAAATGGATCCTCAGGGGGAAGACTAAACGATTCATCTAATAGTTGGGCGATGCCAGCCTTTTCCCATCCTTTAGTGATGTGACAATTTTTAAAATTTTTAAAATTAAACTAGTGAGCAGCACTCTGCGAACTGTTGCTGTAAAACTTGTTTATACTCCTACGCGTTTCGTCTAACTAACGTAGACTTCCTCAGGGAGTTTTACAATCAAATACTAAACGCCTGTATTCATAAGCCATAATATGACTAAAACTAATGATGGTCGCAAACATTAAAGGTTTGGCCGGATTTACGAAAAGGAACAGGCGCAGCTGTGAAATTTTTTACGCAAGGCGTGAGAAAACTTTGGGGCCACGGTTTTAGGTAAAATAAGTAATAAACAAGTTTTACAGCAACAGTTCGCAGAGTGCTGCTCACTAGTTTAGTATGAAAAATTTTAAAAATTAACATCTGAAGTTGATAGATGATAGCTACTTGTACTAACACCTTGTGTTAAAAATTGTTTAGGACCCTTGTAAACACAAATACATGATTTTCTATGTCCATTAAATTTCGCGAGATCAAAGTTCGCGGTCGTTATTTTTCGCGGGTCTTTAAGTTCGCGAATTTTTTAAAATCGCGAATTTAAGAACCCGCGAAAATTAAGGAGAATAAGGTATTATAATTATCCTTCTCATCATCATCATTATCATTATCATCATAATTTTTTTCATTATATGTAGGTTTTTTGCCAACCTTCATACATCGTACATAATAATATCTCAGAGTTTTTACATATATCAATGACATATATTAAAAACAAGAGTGGTCCAAGAACCGATCCTTGTGGCACACCACACTTAATTGTTAAGTCATCTGAGCTGGTTGATTTGAATTTAACAATTTGTTTTCCTCCTAATAGGTAGTTTCTTAACCAGTCTAGTCTACCCTAGTCTAGTATATCATCATCACTATCGTTATCATCATCATCATCATCATCATCATTATTATTTTAAGGAAATGATTTATAATTGACAAGAAGGCATGTATCGCTGCTATTTCGGAATGGCAGTCTTTGGAGGTGAAGGGAAGGAAATATTCTTTAAGTAATACAGTTGTTTATACAATTATAGTTTCGTTATCTATAGGTAGATTATTACAACTTATTAATAATCAAAGAACGAAATGAAATGACGGAAAGGTAGAGATCATACATATTTATGGCATTTGAAAATGCATTTTTATTAATCAATCTCTCTTTTTTTTTAATGTCAATGGCTTGTCAGATTTAATAGTTAGAGTGGCAAATATTTCTTTTTGGTGTGGTGCAGGACTGAGTCAGTTAAACCTGATTAAAAACATCATTCAACAGCTGTCCAATAAAGTGACCAAACTGATCAAATATGTTAAATGGGGCTGGATTTCGACTCGATTAAAATGTCGGCATCCGTTTCAGCGGGCTGCTAATATAGCAATTATCAAGGCACGACAAGATCACACCATCATTTGATATTATGTCACCAATTTCGGTATATGGCTTTCGTTAGAACCATTATTGTATGCATCAAGCTTTACTTACTATCATTATTCTTAATTTTTCAAGAACTCAGCGACGAGGGACGTCATCTGTATTTGATTGGATTCACTCAACCTTAAACCTCGCTATAAACATAGTATTTCAAGGAAGTATTTATCTAAACGCTCTCACAGACTTTATCTAGAATATTGATTCTATCTACGAACTCAAGTATCAGACCTTTAATGTGCGTTTCTATTAAGATAACCGTGCTAATCGTAAATGATCACTTTGATCATTGCCTATATCTGCAGTTTTCTTTATCGTGGTCACATTTCTCACGATTTTTTATCGGCCTAAATTTCTTAACTAGTTTCTACGGCGGTGCGTAAAACGTCTCTACTGATTTGGAGGGCCTCCCATTCTACTGGCCATGGCGTCAATAACCAAATGAAACCTAAATCTTCGCAATCGCTTTCGATTTCAAAGTTTTTCGTTGAAGTCCAATTGATAACTAAAAAGAATTCTTTGAATATTTTTGCGAGAGCCAGTCTTTCCGTGAAAACCAAAATCTGAGCTGTTTCAATTCGCTTGGTGAGTTTGATGGCCGTTCACAAAGTTACATTTCACGTTGGTGATGCAAAAATGAAATTTCCCCAGCAAGAATTAGTCAAGACTTTAAAAAGATGAAAAAAGTGTTTTTCCCTTGGTTTCGTCTCGTGATTGTTTATAATTCAAAGAAGTACGACATAGACATGTAAAACTGAACAAAGGTAAATTTAGCTGACATATTCGTTATAATTGTTGGAATGTTAATATATGAAAGTTCAATACATTTTATTATGACAGTTCAATACAGTTACTATTCAATGACAAGACAGGCGATACCGTATTATGTTTTTATACGTTATTCTGTAGCTGTTGAAAAGGTATCCCAGTTTAATTCAAGCCGATACTTTCGGGCTGTTCCGCTTTAATTGACAGCGCTGTTTAGCAGTGAAGTCAGTCAGCTTTGAGTGTTAGCCGCCATAGAAACCAATCATTTAAAACTGCAATCATAATAACGGCGATCTAAAATACTGCAGCAAGTGTTTCTGGATGTCAACAGTTTCCCTTGGAATTCTGATCCTAGCATAAGTTAAATTATCTGTCCACCTTAAGTTACCTTGAGTATAAGCGAAAGTTGTCCACCTATCTGCAATTAGAAATAGTAGAAAAGCACCAGTGATCCAGGCAAACTGCGACCTTCCAATAATGCAGGATGCAGGCTTTATAAAAGTCATTTCGACGAACGGACCACAGACAGGAAAGCGCTCCCTGTGGTTATTCCGTAGATGGCATTTACTCTATTAGTACTTTGTTGTTTCTTGTATGTAAAGTTATTAATCATTATTGTAGAGACAATGAATTGCTTGATAACTCTTGCGTAAAAAATATTGCAGAGATATTTCGAAACAGACATAGATGAACGACCGAAAAAAATAAGAATTTCGTATAGCATCAAAGACCAGTTAAATCGAAGTAAACTTGGAAAACGAAAACGTATGGAAAGTCGAACAAATTTGGTTGGGAAATTTATTCACAAAAATATATTAAATATTTCGATTAATTTGTTAATTGACTCATGTCTCATTGTATCATAAATAAACTACAATGCAGTCTCGATGGAATGGCCAACTGGTTCATTGTAAATCTTAGGTGTTCATCTTTTGTCCCGTGTTGCGTATTTGAAGTTGTATTTCTTTCTTTCTTTCTTTTTTCCAATGTTCAGCTATTTATCCATACATTTATTTTCTTGCTAGAGGCCACTAATTAATTGGATGATTTGTAACGCGGTCGATTGTAATAATCACATTTGATTTATATCAGTCATACTACGGTCAAAATTCAAAGATCGGAAACACTCTAAAATCCCATCACTGTCTTTGAACAGCCATAACCAGAAGAAAAAAGACGTTCAGATGTAGAGGATTTTCAAAATCGTCATTTCTTGAGTCAGACGTTAATCTGACGTGCTAATTATATAAACCCACATCGGTTGGACAATAATCTTTCCTGTGGATGCAGCTTTGGAAGATGCAATTGCGGCTTGGAGTGTAATTAAATTCCCTGACAAGTGTCACAGTTATGACAATTTAAAAAAAATTCTTGAACCTTCCCGTGTCTCTTTGGTATTTCTTTCCCTTTTTTATAGCCAAATGAATATTTTTAATCTAAACAGAAAAGTAAGCGTTCCATTACTAAGGCATACTAGTTATATGAATTAAGCCTGAGGGTTAAAAATAATAATTTATGTACCCCACAAAGTTAATGTGCTCGGCCGTGCATGCCTCTTTCGATTACCGAAGTCGATCGCCAGTCTTGCTGAACATAGGGCAAAACAACACAAATCTAAAGACATTCCTTGTTCATTAAGAAGCAGGAACTTTTTCAAACGTAAGAAAAAGATCAGCATTTATCAACCGTCACACGTACGCGCAAACTCACACCCCCACGGCTTGGTACAAAGACATATTTAAAAATTCGCAATGCTATTCGCACAAGTGGAGCCTTGTGTTAAAATTGAGCATATACAAATCTAACCAGATAAAATGGGTTTGTCTCTACGCACTCAGTTTATTTTGATTGGACGTGTCGCACTATCGTCTGTCGGAGCACAGTAGCATTCCTGAAATCGAAGTCAGAGGGAAATGTTCTGTTTCTTAGGGCGCTTTATAACCAGAAGTCAGAACTTGCCGGTTTAGACCAGTCATCTAGAAAATGAAGTAGCTTATTTTCGAAAATATTCACCGAAAAACGTACTCCAGATTTACACTAGAGGAGGTTTTTTCCCGGCGTTGTAAAGTGTAAAATAGAGAATCGGGAATGGGGAACGGGAAACGAGCAGGGGGAAAGGGGAACAAAACTTAACTTAAACACTTACCCTATCAGTGCCTCTATGATTATCCCTTCTCTGTTTTGGGTCGATTATTTGTCAATTTCTCGTTCCTAATGTTAGGTCCCCTTTTCCCGTTGCGTCAGATCCATTACGCTTTTCCAGTTTTCCGTTCCACGTTCGTGGTCTGCATCCTTCCGAGATTCGAATTTATTCAGTTTTTTCAGGTTGACAGGCGTTAACACGCATCAAAATAAGCGTTGAACTTTCAATTGGATGCAAACTACAGCTGGAAATCGTCGAAATTTAGAAAGCCATCTTAAGTTAGTGGTCATAATTAAATTTGACTGCTACAATTATCGTTCAAAATACAATTTCTAAACTTCACTTTCATCTGTTGTTTCCTTTTTGATAGCATGAGATGCCTGGACCATTTTAGCAGGGCCCAATAATTTTGTGCGAAGACAAAGTGATTGTTAAGGCGATCAGTCAATTTTATTCGAAAATTACAAGCAAATAGTTGAAGCCCTCTGCCTTAAACAAGGGTAATATACAGCTTGCAAAAAAGAGAGGACGCGTAACTATGGCTTCCAGATAATCTTAAGGAACGCCTAGATCACCGTATTTAGTTGTCTGAGATCAAAGGAAAACACCTCTAAGGCACCGGTTATTATTTATCGCCGGTGGTGGTGGGGGGGGGG